TTATTTATTTAATTATTTGTAAATTTTGTCCAGTAGAATAATAACGAAAAATGGGAAGGAATTATTCCTTATTCATATTTTTGTTGGGCATAAAAATATTCGTGCTGTAGCTTTTTCTTTACGTTTATTCTAACGCTTAAAGTTGTTTATACATGTATGTATATAAACGTTAATCCTAAATTTGTTTGTACTATGTCGTGGAAATAATTCCGGTCTATTGCAGTTTAACTTAATTTTTTTTTTTATTTAATGTTTACAAAACTGGTGGAACTAATTAACTGTTAAAAATCACCGAAAACTGGATGTTTTTCGAAGTTATGATGCAAATAGTGCAAATTTCAAATATATTGTATGTGTGTAGCAGACATGATCTTTTATTAGTCTGAAGGCAGACCATGAATATTTCCGAAGAGAATTGAAAATAACTTTATTTATGAATACACACGTTCTATATAAAATCAATTTCTTGATTTTAATCTTCCAATTACAAAATGTTTTGGTCTGAAAAGCTCCAAATTGTAAATGAAAATCTTTGTACCAATATTTTTCAAGATTTTTAAAGGAAGATACCGTATAATTTCCCAATTTTTATGTATGAAAAAATAAAACTTTTTAAGATCAATAATTGTAATTGTTGACAAAATACATACGAATTAAATATCACCTTATTATATCTATGTATGTATGTATGTACATATGTCGTACATAATGGCGGCTGTTTATCAGATGCTCAAACTTACATAGATATTCGTTCCAACTGAAACTTGATGTTAGAAGTTATGTTCTTTTTATAAATTGTTAGTGTTGTTTTTGAAAGTTGTTGCTGCGCCTTTTACTTTGCACATCAGACTCTGTCACGTACATCCGTACTGCATATCATTAACCTTTCTACTCGATTTTCGACTTTCGTCGTAGGACTTTTTAGGTTGTTTTCTTAATAAGGTTTTAGTATTTAATAAGTTACCAATTAGTGTTTTCAAATATTTTATAAATCCACTGACTGACTTTAGCTAATGCTAATTTTTTATATTTTTTATTTATGTCTCTTTGTTTTTATGTTCCTATACTTTTTTAACACTAACTTTTAAACTACATAGTATATGTAGCTGTGAATTTTTGATTGACTTAACTTTCTACACACAGCTATTTAAAGATTTCTAGTGCATTCTTTCAGTTTTTTAGTCTTAAATTAAAATTGCAATTCAAATTGTATATGTATGTACATATGTCTACCTCACTCTGAAACAGTTAGTATATTTATTAGTTTTTATGGAATACTAAAATTATCGGGATCTATGTATCATGAAGTTCTTACTGCAGAAACATCGATGCAATTATTTTTATTGTAAGGCTTTCTAAAAACATTGTTGCCACCGTAAAACCCCAATAACGTGAAATAGGTGAGTTTATTATTTTTAAGTTCTGTTACTCAACTATGAATTTGTAAAATTTTGTGTTTCTCCTCTCATCCACTATTAAAAAATAATCTAAACTAAACACAATAAAAAAATGGGCAATAATTCAAAGAATTGACGATTTTGATTTTTGTTTTGGTCTATTTTGGGCCCGTTTATTATATTCATTCCTCTCGTTATTCTCCCAATCGTTTTTGTTTTTATTTATTTTAATTTAATTTTTTAAATTTTCTACAATTTTTCTGTTTTTTTTGTATGTTATTTTAATTTATCTTAAAAAATTAACTTTTTCAAAGTTTTCTTGAAGGCACTTCAGATCGGACGTTTTGGCCCATGTGCGATTTTTTATTACATTTGGCGGCTCATGTTAAAGATGCTCGTGTTGTTGTTGTGGTTGTTCAATGTCTGCTTAAAAAAAAAACAATAAAATTCCAAAGTTATCCCTAAAGAATTTGCCAAAGATATTGTCGAAACTGTCCTTAATCTTTAAAAATTGTCCACCTACTACGAAAAATGCATTTTGAACAAAAGAAATCAGATTACCGGTTATTTTGATTTGGTTTGTTGCTTTCTATGCCGATGCTATTGCCTCTTAACGGTTTTAATATGAATGTAGATTCATAATTATTGCTATTTGCCTTGAGAATCATTCAATTCTTTGAATTAAAGCATAACTTATTATGTAGTATCATATTTTTGTCCTTTTGCAATGGTACTGGGAATGTGACAGATCCAAGACCTCATGCAAAAAAGTGTGTGTACGATAAATGGCTTCCTTGATTAAATTTGCTGGGTTCAATAAATTATAATATATAATAATTATTATTAAAATCAGGTTCTTACATAAATGGTATATATTTAAAGACCATGGTTGATCCTAATACATAGAAAAGTTTTAATCAAACAGATGATAATAGATTGGCGCTTACACATATGTTAGTGTTTGGCCGAGCTTCTCCTCCGATTTGTGGCGTGCACCTTGATGTTGTCAAACAAAGGGGAGGGACCTACAGTTTTACGCCGCCTCCGAACGGCGATTGTATTTTTATGAGAAGCTGTTTTTCATGGCAGAAATACACTCGGAGGTTTGCCAATGCCTGCCGAGGGGCGACCGCTGTTAAGAAGAAAATATTTTTTCTATATTTTTTTTGTGCGATGTTGCGGACCTGCGAAGTGGTAGCGCGCATTGCTAACCACTACACCACAGCGGCCACCAATCAAACATATTTTTAGCTACGTATATAAATATTAGGATTTTTTTTTCGTTCCTCAAGTAAGTAAGCCAGTTTTGTGGCCCACCGGGAGCATTATCTTACGTTTTTTGCTATTATATTTATGTCTATGTTCTTATATGCCCCTGATCTCAGACCGAGACCAGTTACTCCGAGTGGTCTGAGAGTGACAAAACGTCCTCCTCGAAATGTGCAACTAAGTGGTTGATTAGATTTTAGACATGTTTACTAATACGTTTTAAGGAGTGTTTCTTCGGAAAGCGGCACTAGCAAGATTCAAAGGACGCAGGAAGTCGGTGTTGTATGAATCGTAACTTTACGTAAAAATTCGAACATTAAATGATCTTTAAAGCCAAGTTCAATGGTACACAAGGGTTGATACATAACATTTTTTATCATGTTTCCTAGTCCTTGCATAGTTGTCAACATTTATATAATTTCATCACCTTTCAGGGAGTTTCTGGAGAGTAAGTAGCTTGCGTCGCCGTGCGGTGGAAGGTTATAGGTAAAAAACAATCTATATACTCTAAGCTATTAAAAAATCACAATGACAGATTTCCATATAAGCTGCCATAAAAAGTAGTAATCCGATATTGCTGGAATTTCTAAGACTGAGGAAGTATACAAAATTATGCAGATTGGTGAACTTTCATGCCCGCTACATTAGGAGGCAGATATGTATGCCTGTTTTTTCCGAATTTAGAAAAAATCTAGTTTTAATTTGGTTTTTGTATGGCTGGTAGGCGAAGCAGTAGGCCGACTTTAACGATCTTTCAGATTTAAAACTTTCTGGCTAAAACTAAGCTACAAACTGAATTTGATTAAAATCAGATAACATTTATAATTTCCGCCCCAGTTTAGTGTGCGTGGCAGTTTGCAAATATATGGGACTTTTCAGATTTCTTCATGCCTACACAGCCTACTTTCCACACAAATTGGAAACTTTTAAACTGTTTGGTAGCTTGGGAACTTTTATTTAATTTTGGTAACTTTTGCAACCAAATATCTATTTGCATTACTAGAAAGAAATGAGTTATGTTTTGCATATGCGTAATTATAAAAAGCCTTCGAGTTCAGTGATAGCAATAGTGACACTTCTACAAAACTCTCAATTTACTTTGATGAGAAAAGAGTTATCTCATTCGAATACTGGACATATTTGAATTACAATGTCAGCACTACGGCTATATTTAAAAAAAAAAAAACTATCGAATTTTTGCGATAAAACTTGAATTCTACCATTTTAATACTGGAAATATTGTTTGCGACAGTAGTGGCGGTACAAAAATTTGGCCATCTGGCGATTTCTGGTAAGGTCCATAAATCGTTTATATTATTGTTGACAATGTTAAAAATACATTTTTACGAAAACTCCGTTGTTTCAATATGTGAGGACGCCAATTTACTTCAATTTATTACTTCCAATAAACTCTTAAGAGGCAATAAGATTATTTAAGTTTTTTTTTT